TACGTGAAACCGAAGTTTGCATAGCAAGATGATTCATGTCAAATTTGCGGCCGTCACTCGTCGCACCTTTATGAGTGACTGGACATGCATACGACGCGAAGACTCCAATCGATGGGTCAATTTCTAAGCGCGACATCAAGCCGCTAGCGCATGGCCTAGGAACAGTAGAATCGGGTACAGCGTCGAATATCCAGCTTTCAAGAGAAACACTGCATAGCAATGACCAGAGATCAGGAACAATCATTCAAATACAAGCAGTTCCAATGCGTGCCATTTCTGCTGGTTAACACAGCATAATAAGCCATAAGTTGTACTCCTGTTTCCAGATACTCAATTGTGTGTTGCACGCTTATACACGGTGTTCTATGCTTCGAAAGCAGGTATGGGTCTGTGAACTCCTAGTTGCCCTGGAATCGTTTCCAAAGGCTAAACGTTTCCACATTTTCGATGGACCTCCTCTTTTATCGTTGACAATGATGGCAGAACGATGGGCTTCATCACGAGACAGGACCCCTCCCTTCAAACGCTGATATCTGTTTCAACGTAGAAGCGATATGTTCAACCTGCTTCTCAGTAGTGAAAGAGTGTGGTGTGCGGCATATTTAGATATATTAACACCACGAAATTCTGATATTCACAACCCCCCCCTCCACCCAGAAACGAGTGCAAGCGCTGAACGACGCTAACTTTAAAGCGGGATTGTAAATAAATGTAAAGAATGGCAGAGACCATGTTAAAATAATGCGTAACACAACTGCCTGCTGAATTCATTGAATTTTGGCTAGAAGAAATGTGAAACTGCGTTCATGTGGAACAGCTGCTTTCCGCCACGAAAGATTAACTCTGCAAAACCAAGAGAAGAGCAAAATGTCATGAAGCACTTTGGGAAGATGATTCCATCGATCAAAGACGAAATCCTTCTAGCAGCGAATACTCCCAGTGCTAATGTTTGGATGCAAAACGGAATTCGGAAATGAATGTCCAGGTGTAAGTTGGGAATAACAAGAAGAAGCAGAACGATATATGAATGGGTAAGAGCCCAGACAATAACCTACGATGTCATTGCTAGAGCGAAAAAATTGAAACTGCAATCAGCAGAACATGTTTCAAAAGAAATATTAGACTCTCTTCCAAGAAATAGTAAGCAGTTCATTTAAAGACCTCTAGATAGAGAACAAGAGGAGCTCAAGAAATATGCTGCAAGAGCATACCTGAAAAACGCAGAGGACAGAAGACCGCAGAAGTCTTCACACAGCAGTGAGTCAAGAAAGGCTAATGATGATTTAACTTTTCTACAGAAAGATAAAAGATAACTTTTATATACCCATAAGAGATAATACTCCCAAGGAGAATGACAAGCGTGAATCAGAGAAGCTGCCTAAAGGAGTTGAGGTTCTACGGTTACGTGCTAACTAATAGATTTAAAGGGCCTACTGCTCAAATGAACTGAAACAGTACGTAAAACCTGCAGAAACTAATGTCAGTGAGCACGAACTTATATTTAAAAGAAATATACATATAGTGAACAACAACAAGCAAAATACTTAATAATGAGGTATAGAAAAACGAATAATCAACAAGAACCGAACTTTAGACTGATGCATAAGACGTTAATGTAAGGGAATCCATAAATGCACAGTTTAATGTGCAAAGATTAGTTCGAGCAGATTCCGGCATTCCCGTTCCAAGTTCCGAATAGATGAGTCATCTGTTGAATCACATACCTTGTCTATCTTCCAGTTCTTTCATAGATGTAGACCTTTTGGTGGGACCTTGTGAAACGAGTCATCAAGCGAATTTTGAAAGTGTCCCTTCCACGGTAGAAGAGAATCAGTTAGAATAGAGTTATCAACCTCCGAAATAGAGCCTGTCTCATCTACCTACTGAAGTGACAGGGTAGCTGATCTGCTGCACAGACAATTTTCAGATCCGATCGAAATTTGCCAAGGGAGAAGAAGTATATCGACGAAGCATATTAAAAACAGTTTTCTAATCCCATTGGAGGTTCTTAATGAAGTTGGACGTTTCAATCAATAGCTGCAATACCGTTCTTTGATGATCACCTTTTCTGTGTGTGCCTAAAGTGCAGACTTTCATCTATGGTCAGACAATTTGCGCTGAGAACGCTTTCTATCTTTTGTTTCTGCGGCGAAACAGAGGGTCCGAAGTTGTTGGCTACTCTGCTATCGGAATGCTCGTTAATCACGAATAAGTCATTTGTTTCTGACTAGTTCTGAATAAGAGTGACTAGTGACATCGTCTGCTGAAATAATTACACACATTATCAATGTGTAACTTTCATATTTATGTTTTTATTTCTTTAGGAAAGTTGGTTTGTGTGGATAACAGTAGATAACATAGTTGCTGTTTACCTCATGAAGTCAAGTATGTTTAAGTGAGCAAGTAGCGTGTTGTTTCACAGACCGTGGATGACTCTGTGAGAAAAAAGCTGGAGAATTGTTAGTTCCTGCCGTGTTTATGCGAATCATACTTACAGTACGCCCCGTATCGGGATTGGGCCTCAGTTCAGGAAGCTTAAGGATGGCAATCGGAATTTCAATGTCCAGAAGTTCTGAATCGTCCGCCTTATAAATTCATTTAATCAAAGAGGAGGAAAGCTGCTAATTGCAGCAACATAAAGGTCACGGAAGTGTTGTAAAAGTCGTTCTCAGTTTTTCTTTGTTATGAATCGTAAAAAGACCTGTCGAAAAACAAGAAAGCAATTTAAGTTACCAAGAACCACCCTTGCTTCGTGACCAGTTTCGCGGCTTTTTGCGTTCACTTCAAGTTTCTTCTAACAATTCGCTTGTTCAGCCGAAGTTCGGGGTTGTCACATTCCTACCACACAACAATGGCCATCGTTTTGTTGATTGCTTGTCGGCTGGCCATCAGCCACAACCACACATGGCCACTGGGCGCCGAACAATAGTGCGAACATAAGGGGCTTTCACTTTTCATCTGATCTGACATAAAGGCGACGTTCTCACGCCTATTGTTAAAGTAACATACAAACCAGTGGTCGTTTAATGAAGCGTAGAGCGCGTGTTTCGTTGAGATCAGATTTATTGGCGATTCATAAGGTTTCTCCAGAAGGTTGTAACATATGCGTCCTAATTGAATTCCTGTTGGACGTATTGCATAAACAATTGTCTTGAAAATGAGTATACTTAGAAGCTGGTGATT